GTGCAGAGGACACCGCGTACGCGGCGCGGTTCTCCTGCCCGGAGGATGCAGCACTGGGCACGGGGCCGACATCCCCAGGAGGGCTCCGTGCCCTCCTCCCCGGGGTGGGAGGAAGCCCTCGCCGCCGTCAGCGTGCTTGCCCTGCCCGGGGAGTTTTGCTTTGGATCCAACCAGCTTTGTTTTCACGCCGTGTTCGCGACAAAAAGTAAGAAATCTCCTTGTTGTGTTGCGTTGTTTTTCTTTTCCCGGTGACAAGCTGAAGGATCCAAAACCAGCAATGAGTCGGGAGGGCAGTCGGACGGTTCTTCCAAGCGCGGCGCTGGAGGAGCGCATTATTCGAGCGCAGAACTGTGACCAGGCTCGGGCTCCACGCCGGTTTTTCACCGTTCAAGCACTTCCTTTTAGTCCAGCGTCCTCCTGGGGTGCGGGAGAAATCCGGGGGTCTGGAATACAGCGCAGGCGCGCTGGCCACCGCGCTGTGCTTGCGCTAGAGCGAGAGAACGCAGGCAGCGTTCCGATTTTTGGCTGTCATTTGGTTTGTTCCCTAGACTGGTGTCACCCACCCCAAGGACACCGAAGTAATGCGGATTTAGGAAAGAGTCGTTTTACACCTCCGTCTTGTAGGACCCAGATTCAAGTGTTTAAAAATATTAAAGAATGATTTAAAATTACTCGGGGGGGATGTGTTGGTTTTGGTTTTCCGTTTGGGGACTTGCTCGGGTTTGCGTGTGTGGTTTGACCTCCTGCGTCCCAGCCGTTTGCATTCGGGCCGTGAGCGCGCCTTGCTGTTGCCGGAGGGCGGACACAGGGGTCTTTTTTAAATGAATACTGAGGGTTTTAGGTAATTACCTCCATGGGAATGGAAGGGAGAAGGCAGAGCAGCAAGCGTGGTGGGTGGGGTTTGGTGGCTGTGTGGGGGTCCCCGGGGCACGGGGTGCAGTGCGGGTGCCCCAGCCGGGAGCGGGGCAGGAAAAGCATCCCCAGCGCTTCCAGGTGAGAGGTTTCTCATTCTTCAGGGAAATATCTGCTCCCCATATCCATGTGTACGTGTGTGTTTGCCTGTCCCGTTGCATGTGCGTATCTTCAAAGGGAGAATCACACAGAATCACACAGAATAGTAGGGGTTGGAAGGGACCTCTGTGGGTCATCTAGTCCAACCCCCTGCCCCAGCAGGGTCACCCAGAGCAGGCTGCACAGGACCTTGTCCAGGCGGGTCTTGAATATCTCCAGAGAAATAGCAATGAACATCATCATGGCAGCAGTTAACGGATGGGCTGCATTTAGAGTAGAATAAATTTCTCCTGGTGGGATCTGGAGGTGCTTTACCAGCATGGGTGAGAGCTGGATGCGCCCCGTGAGGACACCAGGGTCCTCTCTGCTGCTCCCTTCCTGGGGGGAGCAGCCTTGGGAGCCCCCAGCCCGCCAGCCCCTGCCTCCCTGGGGCAGGACAGGGCTCTGCAGGGCCAGGATGGCACTCGGGGAAGGATGTGCGCTCAAGGGATCTTGTGTCCTTCTAAAAAAGAACAATAACGGGTTTCCATCATGGGAAGAAGCAAATACCAAAGAGCTTTTCCCCCACCGGCAGAGATTAACCCTTCGTTTCCCTCCCCGCAGCGAGGACCCGTGGCGGGCGGCGAAGATGATCAAGGGGTACATGCAGCAGCACAACATCCCGCAGCGGGAGGTGGTGGACGTCACCGGCCTCAACCAGTCGCACCTCTCCCAGCACCTCAACAAGGGCACCCCGATGAAGACGCAGAAGAGAGCCGCCCTCTACACGTGGTACGTCCGCAAGCAGCGGGAGATCCTCCGGCGTAAGTACCCGCGCCAGCGCTGGCCCCTCGGGGCTGGCGGGGGGGGAGAGGGGGTCCCCGCATCCCGCTCCTGCGCGTGGATACCCGGCATGCGGCCGGGAGCAGCCCCCTGCCCCCTCCTCTGGCAGAGCCGCCCGGACCCCAGCATCTTCCCCCAAACAGTTGGGCAAGTGAAGTGAATTTCGGGCGCAGGGGAACCGGGCGAGAGCCCCCCTTGCCCGCAGTAGCTCTACGCGGGTGCTCCCCAGCCCACCCACACAGCCGGGCTGCCGTGTGTTTATGTTTGTTAGAGCTGGGGGAGCGATTAATGATTAGACGCAATTAGACGCCTTTCCCACCTCTGCCCCCTTTTCCGCGCTGGTTCTGGAGACCGCTCGTTTTCTGCAACTGCTTGCAAAAAAAAAGCAAAGAGAGAGGAAAGAAAACACCTGCAAGCTGCTCCTGTCCGTAGTCTTGGGGCAGTCTGTGCCATGTAAAATGCCGATGATTTTGACCGAGCACACGGACCGTTGCTTCTGGGCGCCTCTCCCACCAACCCCGGCCCCGGGCTGGTCCCGTACCACCGAAGCAGCCCCGTTTTCAGCCGAGCTGCGGGTTGGGGCACTGCCACCCCCCTAGAAGGGGCTCTGCCTCCCTCCTCCTAAAGGATGCGATACCCAGCGGCTGGGAAGTGCAGGAAAGGGTTTAGCACCAAATACCATTGCTTTGAAAACACACCTTGAGACGTTCGAGCAAACAGAGCCCGCTCCAGCCTTGCCCTGCGATTCCCCCCTCGTCTCCGGGGGGGAAACCATTCTAAAAAGAGGGAGAATTCCCCTGCAAAACTGAGAATAATAAAACCCTCCCATTAATCTCCCTTTACTGCCGCGGTGACAAGCGCCGGGTCTGCGGCAGGCTGCCGGGGAAGGTCACCTCTGGTGCCTGCCTGCCCCGACGCAGGGC